TAAATATTTGACCTTATAAATAAAAATTTATGGCACATTATCTTAGAAATCATGGCTAAGTTTTCAATTAATTAAAAGTTTTTTTAAGAAATAACTCTGTGGATTCATTTAAGACCTCTAAGACAGAGAATCTCTTTAGAAATCTGCCTATCTAATTTCCTGATACTCTCACTCCCCCCCCCCCTATAATTATATACCCCCATTTTTAATAAATGTCATTTAGTAAGTTCTTTTATTATATCAACTTTTTTTTTGTCGCACCATTTTAGCGACTTCTTCTTAAAAAAATTTTCAGTCAATATATATCAGAGATCTGCAAAGAAACCATTTGCTTTACCTAAACCGGATATTTCAACCGGCCCGGTTCTGGTTATATATTTACGGGTTAAGCTCGAATTATTGATATTCGGATCATAACGGATATGTTAGGGTGTATTTAAAAAAAAAAATAAAGATAGATATAAAATATATCTGTTATTTTTTAAACGAAACTTAAAATTTTATACATAAAAAATCCTTTTAAAATTAAAATCATTTTTCGATACTGATTATAATATCCTATGATGAGGGAATTATTATTATTTTTTGGTCGAATATTTAATTAGCAATGCTACGACTGATTATATGGTATAAATGATCAAGCCAAATATATGCAAGAATATTTTTTAATTTGTTTTTATAATTCTTGTTTCACTTAAATTCGGGCTTTCCTTTACAAATATGATATTGTTGGTGCAGTTAAAAACAATAGAAAAAAAATAACTCTTGCGTATTCCGTTGTACAGATCCCTTTTGCTAAAAATTCGTCCTTGTAGTTATCTAGTATACATATTAATCCGCTGGAACATTTGTTCATTGCTAGATATGGTCCCCAACACACTTCGCCTTTCACCTAAGGATATTTAACGATTGAATAAGTACAATCATATATAAACATAATCATCCAAAATATTTTCTTTATATTTCTACATTCTAGATATGTTCAAGGAATTAAATGCTGTTTATTTAATTTCGAGATACTTTGGCGCAAACGTAGCAGCATCCACATTCGTCGATAGTTAGGTCGCCTTTGCAATCCGAGGGCGGAGCCGTTAAACAATAAGGCGTACTTTTGGCACAAGCACAATAGGAATCATCAGCATCCACAGATCTTTTATATTTGATATTTTTGTTTTTAAAAAGTATGTAAAAAAATAAAATTTTCCAAATCGATTAAGTTTCAAAGTATGGATATAAGTCAGGATCGGATCTCAAAAAATTTATGAAGAATCATTAAATATTCACTTTACCGTTCGTATTTTCCATTTACTCATTTTTCAAAAGCGAATATAACTGTTATAGAACCAAAATTTAAGATAATAATATTATTAAAAAACAGGTCCGGGCCGGACCGGCAAAGTTCTAAAAATGGAGGCTAAAGGGGACCTAACAATTTGACCCTTTGCAGGTTTATTAGATAGTATCGGAAATGAATAAATATTTTAGCCAATAGAGTATTACATAAGCCTCGAAATTTAATCAAGAGAGGGCCAAACCTTTTTTCTCCGTTCCATCAATTGGAGGCCTTCACTAAATATTATCTTTGGATAAATTCTTATAAGATCCTTCGATAACCCTGATCATAAAGAAGGAATTTCTTCAATTTTAACAAGAAGATCCCTGGAAAGATCTGAGAATAATGAGGTTAATTTTTTTTTTAAATATTAACAATTGTAAATACACATATTTTTTATTCCGAAATAAAAATATATGATTGTCGTAAATTAAATTTAAAATAATGAATATGAATTTATTTTTTGAAATGTTTCTTAACTTTTATAGTTTTCGAGAGAGAAAAAAAAGAAAATTTAAAACAGATGTTGGAACGGAGAGAAGAACTAAATGATTATTTTATAGCACTTCATCCTATCACCTTCCGGCGTTCTTCGAAGCTTTTGATCAAAAGAGTTTTCCTACATATGGAAGATAGATTCTTTCATATGACATCTATAATGGCTGCACCAGTCCAAAGGGTTAGGGTATAGGATTAGGGTATAGGATTAGGGTTAGGGGCCTAATTCCATGTGAGAAATGAGCTTCAATTTGTTCGGTGACATATACTTAAAGATTTTTTTGTATAAATTTTCATGGGAGATTTTTTATATTTATTCTATATAATATATCTAATTTTCAAATTTAATTATTTTTCGCCAAGATGTGAAAATTATGGTTTTAGTTATTATGTCACAAGTGGATGAAATATTAGAAAGTTTTCTTAGTTGATAATTGGTTCCCCATTTAATTCATTAAACAAATTTTACAAAAAAAACTTGATTGAAAATTCTTTAAAAATAATATAGAGGAAAATTTATATCTATTTTATCAAACTTACTTATTAGAATTGAATAAAACTAATACAATCCCGAAACACAATTTTGCAGCGAATTGCATATTTTAAGATAAAAAATTTTTTTTTGCAATGAAAATAGAAATAAATTGAAACAAAATTTTTAAAATAATTTCAAGGACGTTTCTAACCATTGTTAGTATAATAAATGTTTTGAAAATTTTGTTCCTTTCTCTTAAAATTACGAAAAATGACAATGGCTATATATATTCCCAGTTTGAGAACAATGTTGTCATCTTGCAATTACAATAAATGTTGTTTATGAGGGAAAGGGAAGTTTTCAAGTAGGATTGAGATGTTTAAAATTATACTAATCCGCAAAATAGAAAAGACCGGGATGTTAAGTCGGTGCATTGAGCTTCAGTTTATTTTATTTCTTGTAAACCGTTTTGATCTTCAAATTTTATTGTTAGAATAAAATTCTATTTGTAAACTTGTATCAATAATTTTTAAAAATTATGTTTATTAAATTATGGGGAAATTAAAAAAAATGTGTTCTTTGAGATCAAAATTGGAAATATTTTTTATGCATCGCAATTTAGGAATTTATAATAAAGTTTCAGGAGTCATATGGAGAAGAGAAGTTCACGTTTAAAAATCAATTTTATAAAAGTTATTAGTGATATTAGTATCTATATCTATATTATGCGTAATGACTAATAAATTCTATTATGATATAAATGCAAAATTAGGGGGAAGCGATATGAATGCAAAACCTGAGACTTTTGGTGGAGTCCAAAATATATATAGACTCAATTTTCCTAACCCTAAGCAAGAAATCCAAATCATGATTAGCCACAAAAAAATGAGAAAATTTAAGCCAAAATTTTGGGGACCCTTATATAGCCTAATTTATTTTAACCCCCTTCTCCCCCCAGCATGTTTTAAAATATTTAAGCGAATCTGCCCACCCTCGGGGAATAGCCGGCCCAGGCCCAGATCCACATATTTAAAATTAAAATATTTCACAGCTGTGGCAATCTCTCAATTCGAAAAAATATATATATAGTTTAATCAGATTTTTATCCCTTATCAAATATTTTCGTCATAAAAAGAGTTCCATATTTTGATATCAGATTAATTGCTAGCTTATCCTACCCAATCACGAATAAGGTGGTATACTAAGTACTTCTTATCCAATCAAATTTCTTTTAAAACTTTAACAGAATAAGAGGATTCCTAAATTGATTGTTTAAATCATCACTTCTTTAAAATCCTTAAAAAAATCTTGATATTTATTAATAAATAGTGATTACGACAATTTCATATCAATTTTCCCTCCAAATACTCCGAGAAATCCATAATGTTTGACCCCAATGACATATCAAATACCTAGACTGAGAATTCATTCATTAAAAGTGTACATCAATGCAAATCAGCTGGAGACGCCATCTTGGTTACACTAATCATTATTAAAATTTTAAACGAGAGTCTAATTTATTCCTTTATCTGATGCAAACTTTATTAAAGAATTACCGGATCATCGAGATAATAAGGAAGCAAGTTATCAATTTAATAGTAGTTTTTAACATGAGAATAATTCCTAACATGTGTTACCAAAATGGCGGGTCCAGCTGATCTGCTTTTAACGACGCTTAAAAATGCATTTTAACGAATGAACCGTCAGTCTAGGAATTATACATGTCAATGTGTTTGACAGTTAAAATTTAAATCAAATATTTTTATTTACCTTTTTTTTGTAATGGGTTTCAAACGAATAGTTTTTAAAAATTTACTACATATTTTATTATTTTCTCTTATAATTATAAAAAAAATTTTTTTTTTAAATTTAATATCCAAGATAACGTATTAGTGGGCACATTTTAATAAAATTATTATAAATTGATTAAAACAAATATATATTTAAGATAGGATATTGAATTTATTTTTGCTCTTCTCTCCTCTTCTCTTCTCTTCTCTTCTCTTCTCTTCTCTTCTCTTCTCTTCTCTTCTCTTCTCTTCTCTTCTCTTCTCTTCTCTTATCCATATGACTCCTAAACTTATTATAAATTTCGAAATTGCGATGCTAAAAAAATATTTTAATTTTGAACCTCAAGTTTTAAAATAAACAAATTTAAAAAAAAATTTCAGTTACGATAGAATGTTTTATGTAACAATAAAATTTGGAGATCAAAACGGTTTACAGAAATAAAATAAACTGAAGACCGATGCACCGATCTAACCCCGGTCTTTTCTATCCTGCAGAATATTATAATTTTAGCCATCTTGACCATTCTTCGTTTTTTTTAAAAAAAATAAGCTTGATTTATCTATTGCAGTGTGTTAAATGGCTCGTTTTGAGCCGATTTTTAAAACGGATAACTCAATATTTCTTCTAGAATAACATTATGCAATCCTGAAGATTTTGTCTGTAGAAGGAACACAGGAATGGACATCTATCAGTGAAATCTCGAGACTTAGGCAAATATTTTAAAGGCTAAAATATAGTTAGCCGTTTTTAAATATATCAAACTTTCCATCTCACAACAACATTTATTTTGTAAGATGATAACAATGTTCTCAAACTCGAAATATATAGCCATCGTCATCTTAACAATTTTGAAAGAAAGGAACAAAATATTTAAAAACATTTATCATACTAACAATGGTTATAAAAACGTCCTTGTGGAAAAGCTTTGAAAAATTTCATTTAAAAATTTTTTTTTTAATCTTAATAATATGGAATTCGCTGTAAAATTGTGTTTCGGAATTGTATTAGTTTTATTCAATTCTAATAGGTATATGTAAGTTTGATAAAATCGATAGAAATTTACCTCTACATTTTTTTAAAATATTTGCAATCAAGTTTTTCTTTAAAATTTGTTTAATTAATTTAATTGAGAAATATTCAGCGCCAAAATCGACTAGGTTAAAATAATATAAAACTTTCTAATATTTTCTCCCCATTCGTGATTCGTGACATAATTTAATTACCAAAATCATAATTTTTCATATCTCTTTATATATATATATCTATTATGTTTGTATACGTGAAAAATAGTTAAATTTAATAATAAAATATAAAAATCTCCCTTAAAAATTGATACAAAAAAAATCTTTTAGTATATGCCATCTGAAGTTCATTCTCTGATACTAGGCTTAGTTTAATAGTTTAAATATTGATAGATATACCATTTGGTCAACTTTTAAAGAATCCATCTTGCGTAGGTTTAGAACACCCTTTATTCTTAAACCAAATCATCGAAGATGCTATCCAATAATTGGAATGGTTATAGGATGAAGTCCAATAAAATAATCATTTAGTCCTACTCTCTATGTTCCAACATCTATTTAAAATCTTTTCTTTTTCTTTCTTAGAAAACTATAAAAGTTAAGAAACATTTCAAAAATTATTCTCAGATCTTTCTGGAGAACATTCTTGTTAGAATTGAAGAAATTCTATCTTCATGATTAGCAAATTAAGGAAAACGGCAAAATCTAGGATCTTATCCAAACATAATATTTTAGTGAAAACCTAAATATTATAGCATATTGATGGCATGGGGAAAGAAAGGTTTGACCCTCTCTTGACTAAATTACAAGGCTAAATAATTTTTTATTGACCAAAATATTTGTCATTTGTGAATATAATTTGTAGAAAAACCAGCTCCAATATTATTAAATATTCCGCTTTTTGTAATCGATATTTATCTCAGAAACTTGCAAAGGGTCAAATCGTTAGGGTCCTGGCTTAGCCCCAGAAGTTTTTTAGAAACCGGCCCGGTGCATTTGTTATTCGATTTTGAAAAAGAAAAAATCGAAAGTGAATCATTAATGATTCATCAAATTTTAAGCTTATTTAATGTTCGAACGGAAAGTTGTCGGGACTAATTAAATCCAATTGATCAGCTGTCTTCCTCCAGCTAAAATTAAATTTTTTGAGAATAGATCCGATACTGACTTATAGAGCTTCCCATTTAAAAAAAGGAAAAGTTTTAATCAAAAAACGGAAAAGTGTCAATCATAAAAAGTCTTAAAGGTTTTAAGAAAAAGTCCGAACAAAAAATGAAAAGGACCAATCAAAAAAGTAAAAGTTGCCAATCAAAAAAGGAAAAGTCCCAAAGGTTTAGGAAAAAAGTCAGATCACTAAAAAGGAAAAGTGTCAAACACAAAATTAAAGGTGTCAATCAAAATTCTCATTCAAGAAAGGGAAAATCGTTATTTTTTTAATTTTTTTCTTAAGAATTCTCATTTTTTCAACAATTCTTTCCTCTTTTTTTTTCATTCTACATTACAATTATTTTGATTTTTTATGATTTTTTATTTCCTCCTTATAATTGTAATCTTTTACACAACCTTTTCAATCTCTTTTCAATTCATTTTCTAATCTTTATTTTTCTGATCTATTCATCTTTTCTCAATATTTTTTTTTATTCTATCTTTGTTAAATAAAAAGAAAATCATGCTTTTTTAAAATTCATATAATATAAATATAAAAATTTGAATGCCCAAATTAAACAAGTTCCTTTTTATTTTGTGATTTAACGTTAAAGTGTTCAATTTTTTGAGGTGCTTAAAACACTGCAGCAAATGCTTACTGTATTGCATATTCCAAGCTGTTACCTTATTTTTATTATTCTTGGCGCTCAGATAAATTTGAGCTCAAGAACTTCTTATATCAAAATGAGGATAATAGATTCGTCTTTCTCTCCCAAAAATACAGTTTTAATTGATTAAAAGTTTTTGCAAACATTATTGTTCATTTCTTCCTCTATTTGACTCGTAACAATAGAGAAACTCGATAGATTTTTTATTAGTAATTTTTATTAAAAAAAATTGATTTTTTTATCTACTAATTTATTGAGGGACTTTAAAAAAATGATATATAGATTAGCAATAAATCTTTTCGAAATACCAGATGAGGCATTGGATTGTCCTTGTCAACAACTTCCGGTAAAATGTGCGACACCTCCACCTACTAATTGCAAGGCAGAGGTCGTCAAAGATGCTTGTGATTGCTGCCACGTTTGCGCTAAAGTAAAAAAAATAAGATAAATATGTATGATAAGATCTTTCTGGGAATAACGAACTTATCCAAGATCATCAAGTGAGGATTTAGGAATATCTTAATTTTTAGATTCCATTAGGGTTTAATTTTTAGCGAAATTGTATTCCAGAATGCCTAGAGTATTATTTTGTGAAATTTAGACAAACTCAGCGTTGAACACAGTACAACTATTCAATTTAGAGTATAATTTTTTAAAAGAAATATTACAGCGAAATTATCTAAAGATTTATAGCTAGTCATTAGTGTTCTTAAATCACCTAACTATGACCAATTCTAAAATGACTCTGTCAAGTTTTTATCCTAAAGAATTAATTCCAATATTTAAGTTTAGGTTCAACTCTAAGGTTTCAGTCTATTTTTTTTAAGGTTAAAGGCTTGGCTCAGCTTTGTAGGAATTGGCCGAATACGTTACGCGACATAACATACTAGTAAATCTCCATATTTAAGAAAAAAATTTTCCACGTGGGTGATTGGCTATCGAATTCTCGATTAAGATTCAGGATATTGTCGTTATTCCCCAAAAAAGTTTTCATCTAATATTTTTTATGAATTAATGATAAACAACGTATATTTTTTAATATTTAATGGTTTTTTATTGGATAGGTTGTAGGGGAAGTGTGTGGGGCACCGTATTTCGAAAAGGGTAAATGTGCGAATGGTTTGATATGCCTTATCGATTTAAAGTCTAGTGAATCGGATGGAACATGTGTGCTCGAATTTCCCAGAGTAATCATGCTTTTACAACACTTGCTCACACATATAAATCATTATATCTGAAACCTATGATATTAATAAACTTTACAGAATATATATATTTTCATATTTTATATTAGAACTTACAAGAACCTTGCGGAGATGCCTTACAGCAAGGATACTGTAAACCAGGTTTAATCTGTTCACAACTCTTCTCAGGAACCATGAATATGTGCGTTATTCCCCCGATAAAATTACCGATACAACAAACGCGCCAGTAAATGTTTTGGCGCTATTTATTTATCAAAACTTTATTAGAAAACGCGGGCTATGAAACATTTTGTCCAGAGAAAATATTATGCAGCCCTAAAGATTTTTCTCTCATGGGGTGGCACCAAGGTTTGGGAATCTGTCAGCTAAGTATCGTGCCTTAGGTCTATTTTTCCGGCTAAAATATTGAGTTAGCCGTTTAATATTTGGATCAGATCGAGTCGTTTAACAACATTTTATACGCGTATGTTCGCTAGCAAATTTAAAATGCGCATGCTCTCGCAATTTTTTATTTTCGCGTATTTTTGTAAACAGTATAAACGGGCGTGATTGGTCCTAACATATATTCGCGCACTTTAAATACGCGCATTGATAAAAATTTACTACGATTTTCTAAGCGATTAATTTTCTATATTATTTACCCAAATCAGGGTTGGACGAGACGGTCAATTGACCAATCAAATTCGGTCAATTGACCGGTAAATTGGGAAAATAGAATTAAAAGATAATTGACATTTTGGAAAAAAATGACGTTCCTATTAACTATAGATCAGGAAAGAGGTTGCTATAGCTTATGTAATTTGATGGGGAACACATAAATCATTAAATTATAAATTATTCAATGTATCAACATTCATTTCTATAACCCAAAACCGAACCTATTTTTCTGGAAGGAGGGTTAACCAGACCTGAAAATAAATATAGCCACGAAAGACTTGAGATTAATCATCTTGATATTTGAATAGGTTGTTATTGTAGCGATGGGCGGGAATTTGTTTTCCCGCTTCCTCCCTCCGCTGCGTATCCGCCTATAAAAGTATTTTTGATTGTTTTAAAATCGGCTCATATTAAACCATTGTCTTACATATTATTTTCTATCTAAAGAACTTGATCTCTTCAATCGAAAAACTTTTTTTTTTATATTAAAGATGTCATGCGATATATTTTTTGCCGGCTACGTCGTTATTATCATGGAATACATTTAATACCTTATTTAACATCTTAGCCAATCAAGGAGTAAGAAGTTAAAAAATCACGTGTTCGAAATCACGGAGACAGCCGAAAGATCATTTAAGGATTTATAAGAAGAAAGAATTTGATTATAACATATAGCTCATGAGGACATATCAGAAAAACTTTAATACAAATGGGGGAGACCAGGCCTAGTCGGCCCAAAGGGGCTTATCGGTTTAGGGGATTTATGGTACACAACCTGAATCTTTATAATTATTTTAGCTATATAACTATCGTAATTGATAATATGTGAAAAATAATTAAATTTGAAAATCCATATAAAATTACAAAAAAAAAAGAGTATACTAACAAATTGAAGATCATTCTCATATGGTCATTAGGCTTATGTTGTTCTTGTTGGTTTTAATGTCATTTTGGTCAATTTTGAAAGAATCAATCATCTTCCATAGGTTTAGAACACTCCTTTGAACTAAAGCTTCGAAGATGCTGGAACGATGCTAGGAGGAAGTTCAATAAAATAATCATTTAGTTCTTCTCCCCGTTCCAACATCTATTTAAATCCTTTTTTTTTCTCTCTCTCTCGAAAACTATTAAAAGTTGAGAGAGATTTCAAAAAATAAATTCATTTTCAATACTTAAAAATAAATTACTTCACGATCATATATTATTATTTGGGAATATAAATATTTTTTTTGAAAAAATCAACCACCTGATTATTCTCTGATCCTTCGGTGGATTCAGTCTTGTAGAATTGAAGAAATTCCTCCTTCGTGATTAAGTGTTATCCAGGGATCTTAATTTAAACCGACTTTTAAAAAAATGCGTATTGATTGGAACGGGGAAGAAAGGTTTGACCATCTCTTGACTAAATTTCAAGGTTTATGTGTAATAATTTTTTTTTTGGCCAAAATATTGGTCATTTGTGAATATAATTTTTGTAAAAATCCCTCTCCGATATTAATTAATATTCCGCTTTCGTAATCGATATTATCTCGGGAAACTTGCAAAGGGTCAAATCCTTAGGGTCCCCGCTGAGCTCCAATTTTTTTCAGGGATCCGATACTGACCTAATATCTTTACTTAAAAAAATACTTAAAAAAAAACTTCATAAACAAAAAATATTCAATATATAAGATTTGTCGCGGATGGTTTTGATTCCTATTGTCCTTGTAGGAATTTAACGCGTAAATGCATATGGACTCCGCCCACGGATTGCAAAGGCGACCTAGCTTTGGACCAATGTGGGTGCTGCTATGTTTGCGCCAAAGTATCTTGAATTAAATAAACCGCATTTAATTCTTGAACATCGTATGTAGAATGTAGATGGATGATTTTTTGTTTACATATGATTATTCTTATTTCATCGTTGAATATCCTTTAGGTGAAAGGCGAATTGTGTTTGGGGCCGTATCTACCGTTGAGCCAATGTTCTAGCGGATTACTCTGTATACTAAATAACACAGAGGACCCTCTCCAATCAAAAGGGATATGCATGACGGAATACCCAAGGGTTATTTTCAATTGTTTTTTTAAAACTCTAAGCCAACAATATAAAATTCGTAAGAAAAAGCCTGAATTAATAAGCGGAGGCGGGAAGTTCAAACTCTAGCTCCCTCCTACCCCTTCATTTAAATTTGAACAACGCCCCAAATTATAAGAGCTATCAACGCGATGCGCGCATGAGAGTTAAATGGAAAGAGGGAAGAGCGAATTCCCCTCTTCGTATTATATTTTAGTGTAATTCTGCTAAATTTTTTCAGATAGGAGAAGATCTAATATAACTTCCGTAGAACTTACAGTAAAAAAATTCCCACTCAGACCACCCCCCCCTCACACCCATCCCCTATAAAATCTTTAAAAGCAATAGTGGACTTATAAAGAGGATTTATAATAAATTCCCTTTCTTGTTTTTTTTTAATGTTTATTGGAAAAATCACATTTAATTGATTTGTATGGATGATAATTTTGATTCATTTGATGTTTTTATTGTCGTTTACTAGGAGGAAGGAGAACCGTGCAGTGAGGAACATATGCAAGGCAATTGCAAAAAGGGATTGAAGTGCCATCGCAGGCATCCGTCCTTGATGGGAAAATGCGTCAAAGATTCCTAAAGATTTATTTTTTTTTATCACAAAGAGAAGAAATACTTGATTTATACCAAAATTCTTTTTTTAAAAAAAATAATCTTTAAATTTTAGTGCCTTAATATTCAATTTATTCAATAAAACTATTCCTATATTCCTAATTCAGTTTTCAATAACATGTATTTAAGTAATTTTAACTATAATAAATATGTTTTGTCCATGTAATTAGACCTTTGCTTTCTCTCAAATATTCTTAACGGCTGAATGAACCATATGCCGATATATTAATATTGATTTTAACCTAGACGTCAATGAACCAACCATAAATCTTTGAAATTGAAGATACCATCTTGGTGATTTATAAATAATTCCTATGGCAAAACGTATGAATATCTTTATAGTGAAGGAATTTTATAATATTAAAACCTCTAATTCAGTCATAAATCTAAACATGATAAACTATCCTCTACATTTGTGGGTAAATATGGTTACCCTATAATATTTTATCAGCCAAAGATATATCCTTTTTACCGATCTTTGTAATTATTGGCCAAGAATACTTACTACACTATATCTATATAAGATAATAATATTTTAATTGTTGTTTATCTCTGAAGGCTATAAGATAGAGTAAAAGATAGATTATGGTTTCTAATATTTATTTAATATTAGATTTTTTTTCCAAATTCGACTCAATCCAACAAAATTTTACTTAGAAAATCGAAGTTCTAACAGTATTTTTATATTGAACTGTAATATACGGTATTTCAAAGAAATCGGAAAAATTTTATGAGCTTTCAAAGATAATGAATTTAAATTTATTATTATTCTTTAAAAATAGTATTCGTATGGAAACATTTGTAAAACGAAATAATTTGAAATTTTGTCCAGTTTACGAGTCAGGTCCATCCGACCAATTCCGAGAAATTGTCTATCCGTGTTCGACTTACCCGACGAGTTCGGTTGAACGGTTAATGCCGGTTCTAATTTATAAAGGAGCCCCCCCCCCACATCTCTATAGTCCTGACAAATACGATTTATAATATGAAACGAATTACTGTCGAAGAATGCTGCGCCAGGCATTATTTAATTAATGTTGTTCCGGAGAGCTATTCAGTAAATTGAGTTTCAAGAAAAACAAAAAAAAAATCTCTAATTCAAATCTGTATAAATCCAAAACTTGTCTGTCACCCTTATTTTATGAAACTTTTTATTTTATTAAAAGAGTATAATTCAACTTAATCTAGAATTTAAGAATATTAAAATTTGACAAATAATGACCCAAGAGACTCGACAATCTTTTTTTTTCGAAAATGGATATACTTATTAAGATTATAAAACGTGACGGTTTTTTTTAAACTGGTATTGCTATTGTTTAGCGTTGCGGAATGCCACATTTATGATTTGACGAGACAGCTGACAAACCATCAATTTTTTTAATGAGTTCATTTATCATTAGCTTAAGATAAAAATATGTTTAATTATTAAGAAACGAATGAACGGAAATTTGTTTTTTTTTACCATTGAACACACACACACCATCGAAGAAGGGATAAGGATGATTAATTGAATGGTATTTGTCACAATGTGAAATTTGACATTGGAAATCAGAACCTAAAAATAAAAATAGAAAACAAATATATATATATATATATAAAAGAAATTAATAATAATTAGGAACCACGAAATCAATTTAATTCTTTATTCAAAATTATAACATTATCAAATTAACAAATTTATAAAGGTAAAAATAATAAAAAAATAAAAATACAAATAAAAATAAAAATAAAAATAAAATACAAAAAAGTTAATAATTATAAAAGATCTTTTTGTATGGTAAAAATTGGCCTTTTTATACTCTTTTCAATCTTCTTTATAACTAATATTCATAACTATTCAAATATAATATTTTTATCACGCGTTATAATAATAAATCCAAAAGAATTCTTTATGCAAATTAAATATAAAGTACAAATTTAACGAATCTACTATTTACAACAAAATCCAAAAGAATTCTTTATGCAAATTAAATATAACATTTACAACACCTCTCTAGTTAAATTAGACCCAACATTCTGCGAATAATCAATCTTCTTTCGATCTCGACTTATTCTTCTTAATCTTTGCTTCTTCTAAGTTCTAACGAAGGCTGACCCTTGTCTAGTATTCTTAGTTTCGAACGACCGTTTGTATCCGATTGTCGCTTGAAATTTTTGAATTCCATCTTCTGTCGCTTGTCACCCTGTGAAACGATCAGCTCTTTATCTTTGTAGGCCACTGACGAACTTGATATACGCCTGTTTTCCACTATCCACGATTGATGAACGATTATCGATGACATCCAGTTTCTTTTTCATCTCTTGTTTTTTGCTAGTCTGTCTTAATTTTTTTACAATTTATCGTAGCTTGTTTTCTATCATTCTCTTGTAATCCACGATTAGCTCTTTATCTCGATAAACAATTGATTGGTCTGCGTTAAACGATTGTTTTCACGAATTCTTGTTCCTATGATTGTCGATTTCCGTATCTTAGACTAAAGTGGTCAGCGATTAACGATTGCAGCAACGTCTTGACCCTACTTTCTATCAATTCTCTTGTTTTCCATTTTCTCTTGTAATTGATTGGTTGTTGCCTCCAATTCTTGTAATCGTATCTATCTTTTAGACTTCCGGGTCTTCTCCGACAGTTTGCCCTTGCTGAGATATCGACTTTATCTTAAGTTTTCAGGTAATCACATCTTATCTACTTCTACCTAAAATAATCTATTTAAATAACTTCTGAAATATTTTATCACTTTTTTATATTTATTCTCAAATATAAACTACCTAATACAAATATACTAATAAAATATATAAATATACCAACTTCATCCTAATGTCTACATTTATCTCCTCTAATCTAATTCTGCCTTTAATAAATGGCGTAAATTATACTAAATCTTACATTTATAATACGTAACAAAAATATATATAATAAATTATAAAAATATATCACATTCTATCACCCCTTTCCCCTTAATGAAGCCTAGACCCATATTTTCATTGAAAAATTTACTTGTACTCATCTTTTAGCTATTGATCCTCATCTTCTCAGACCTGTCTATACTAAATTTATATCTAAAAATCCTATTCTACAATATATATTAAAATCTTTCTTTTACTCAAGTCTTTAAAAATAAACTGCTGAAATATATAAATCTCTTTTCATACATACGTTGTCGAGAAATCAACATTTAATCATAAAAGTTTTCATACTCACGTTTATGAACAACCTATTAACTCTATACACTATGGTTTTCACCCCACGTCTTTGAAGAACTTATGAAATCTAATCATTATAATTTTTCAAACAACCGTTGTTGAAAACTGATATGTATATTTCTAAAGCATGTTTTTCTTTCTATTATTATTAGAATAATGTTGCATAATTGATCTCAAATCTTATTTATGATTCAAAAAAATAAAAATCCGATCTCTAATTGAGCTCGATTGCGGCATAAATTTTCTAATGACGAAAGCCGTTTCTCTTTATGAAAATTTTTGGTTAATCTACAACCTAATATACTACATTCACATTAATCCTTGAGGCTGTTTTATCTCTCGCAGCCCTTAAAATAAAAGTTAAACGTAAATCTTCAATAAGAATTTAATCAACTATTTCCTAACAATAAAGTTACATTCTAATCTTATTCACCGAATTTTTTAATTATTATATCTTAGCAAACTATTAGTTAAATATTAACTTTCGCAATTTATGTTTCTATTTTTTTGTCATAGTTATTTCTAGTGATCAATTGATAATAATTCTAAAATCCAAAATATCATTGTCTCTATTAGTTTCAAAATTCAAATGGTTTTAGTTTACCAGTAACTTCTAAATATAAAATTCCTAATTATCACCTTTAAATAACTAAACACAAACTTCTTTATATCATATCTACTATGAATGTTACCTATATAATTCTTTGTTTTTAATTTTAGATTTTATATTCTACATAAACATAATCTTAACAAAATAATTTTTCCTTTTCACTTTTATTTACATATTTTTCTTACGTTCTTCTGAAATTTTTTTTTTTATTATTAGAATACAGTTTGACACATCTCCTTGTTGTCCCACCGTATATCTTGATTTGCATTAGACTGAAAGTCGTAATTGCCCTGTCGCCTCCTCTCTCCAACACCATTGTCACAATGTGATGTTTTTTAAGGATTGGGAGATTAGAACCGTTGTCAAATAAAGAAAGGTTAAAACTAAAATGATACTAAATCTTTATTAAATAATAAGATGTTGCGTTATTCCTTTATCTTATTTTTTGTTTTTTGCATTTGAACTTTTATTATTTTGTTATAATCTAATTTTATAAACGGCGTAACCTTACTTTTTTATATATTATTTTACTTTTTTATATTTCGTTTATATTCTAATTTGGACCTATAAAAAATGTATATAATTGAAGTATGAAATGAAAAAGTTAGTTAATAAAATATATTTTTTATTTAATAAAGTTAATAAAACTTATTTATTATTCACCGGCACATATTCATGTTATTTTACATGGTGCCTCCAGTGTTGGCATAAGAAACTCGCCTCATGGAAAATTTTTTTAAAAATAAAATTTTTTTTTTTTCCTTTGTAAATATGGTTAATAAAAAAAATTATAAAATGGTACAAACAATTCTATATAAGATGGATAAAAAAAGGGTAAGTCATTTCAAAATTATTTTCATCAATTATGTTCGCCTTCAAACTAATTAATGTACCCCATCAAATCTCCATATACGATATTTTGTTTGAGTTAACCTATAATTCCGATGTCACCTTTTATAGGATAGACGGTACGGAGGACGTGTTGTTTGAATTTATGAACTTAAGAGATATGATTAATTGTTTCGAATTGTTAAATGGGAAACATTACATTTATGGTGACAATGATTTCATTGAATTAATCTGTATATTTACCAAAACATGAATAGCTATACCAAAAATTTGAATTGATAAAATAATAAATGTTATAATTGCTTATTTATGTGTCTTATTAATTAAATATGGAAATTAAACAAGAATTTACACATAAGATCCCTAAGTTAGTGGGTCCTCTTACTGAAATTTATTTAGACAGAATATTAAATTACTTTTCGACCAGTACATTATCGGACTCTATTAAAATTAATACTTTGCTTAATAATTTATCAGACGAAGTTTTTGATGACATTAAGGCAATTTGTTCTGATACCGATATTTTAGATCTTAAAATTGTGATTAAAAAGTTAAACTATCTTTTACCAGCGCTAAATTTAAATACTTTAATTAATAAATTTAATCTTCTTCAACAAAACTCATCAGAGAGTTTTATGCTGTGGTACATTAGAGTATCGAAACTTCATAAGAAATGTAATTTTTTGGACGATAGTAGATTAAAAGAGAAATTACGGACATCTACTTTAAACGATAAAAATATAAATTCTCCAAAAATTTTGACCTTACATTGAATCAGATGTTGGAATTAGGGGTGAAACTGGACTCTAGTAATATTAAGTCTGAGGATAATGATATAAGTTATATAAATAATGATAAAAAATCCGATAAAGATAAAAATTTTTGCAGTAGAAATGATAATAATTTTCGAAATAATTTTAGAAATAATTATGATAATAGATATAGAAATGGGAATTACAATAATAATTTTAGATACAATTATGGTAATAATAATTCGCGATACCACGATAATTATAACAATTATAACTATAACAATTATCGCTATAATAATAATAATCAATCGAATTTTGGTAGAAATAATACATGGTATGATTATAATCAAAGAAAACAAATCCAATACGGTGACGGAAATCGCAACAATTACCAATCTTATTACAACAACTCAGATAATTATAGAGGTAATGATAAGTATCAGAGAAAGCAAATACAATATAACAACAACTCAAATAATTATAGAGGTAATGATAATATTCAGAGAAAGCAAATACAATATAATAACAACTCAAATAATTATAGAAGTGGCGACGAAAATAATAGAAAGCAAATACAATACAATAATGATTACAACATGAATATTGAAGAAATTATTGAAGAGAAAGTTGATTCTACAAAGAACAAAGATAACATAATCAAAATAAATTAATATAAATTAAAATTAAAAATTAAAAATTAAAAATTAAAAATTAAAAATTAAAAATTAAAAATTAAAAATTAAAAATTAAAAATTAAAAATTAAAAATTAAAAATTAAAAATTAAAAATTAAAGATTAAAGATTAAAGATTAAAGATTTAAAAAAAAATAAGTTCGTAAAATCATAATTTAATCCTTTATTCAAAATTATAACATTATCAAATTAACAAAATTATAAAAGTAAAAATAATAAAAAAGATTAATAAAAATAAAAATACAAAAAAGTTAATAATTATATATGATGTTTTTGTATGGTAAAAATTGGCCTTTTTATACTCTTTTCAATCTTCTTTATAACTAATATTCATAACTATTCAAATATAATATTTTTATCACGCGTTATAATAATAAATCCAAAAGAATTCTTTATGCAAATTAAATATAAAGTACAAATTTAACGAATCTACTATTTACAACAAAATCCAAAAGAATTCTTTATGCAAATTAAATATAACATTTACAACAGTATTGTTATTGTATATGTAAAGATAAATAGATTGTTCTGTTGACTATACTCAAAAGGCACAGTGTTTTACCTGCATTTAATTTTATTTTTAACAAAATTAGACTTTTTTTCTGCTTTAAACGAACCCTTAGAACAAATTCGATCAATGGGAAGATACCGAATAAATAAAATCATAGTTTATAGCAGGCAGGAAAGACTTTGAGAATATTCATCTAATAATGGTATAAAAGTATATGTTTATTCAAATTGTTTTAAAAATCAGTTTAAATTTGATACTAATGTCTGACAGTGTTATATTATTTTATAACTATAAAGACCTTTATCTCTCTTCTTCAATAGAAATTAGTGTTGTTGTGTCGCGTAACTTTATCCAATTCCAATAGAAGCTTAGCCAAGCCTCTTACCTTTAAAAATAGACTAAAACCCTCTAGGATTGGAACTAATTCTTTAGGATAAAAATTGACAGAGTCATTTTGGAATTGGTCAAAATTAGGTGAGTTGACAACATTAATAAAAATTATTGGAGAATTAAAAATATTACACCTTTTTTTTCGATTCGAGATGTCCTTTCATGATTGATTGAATTAATTAATTTCTTGTAAATAATATTTTTGTGATATATTTTACCCTCATTAAACATCTTAGCCAATCAAGAGTAAGAAGGCAAAAATAACTGTGCAAGTTAAGCCAATTGAAATCGTAGTGACAAACGAAAAATTTATTGTAAGGATTTAATAAAAAGAAAGAATATGATTACAATATTCCCCTCTAACATCAATATCAATCCACTAACACAAGCAGAAACAAAAAAGATCAAGAGACTTTCTATTTACTTCACTAATGACTTTCAAACGGCCATTTTTAGCGAGTAGCCTAGAAGTTTTTTCTAAAAATCTTGGCCTCAAAAATCCTACTTTTTTACAAACGAAGCTAAAAAAAATTTTATATATACGTTAAAAAAAATTCAGATAAATTTTTTTAGATATAATGACGGTTCCTTTTCGGGAACACAATTATGAAATTTTATAGTTTATTGTGATAAAAATTCATAATAATAAAAAATCAAAAATAAACTAGTTACAACAAGACATTTCGTAGAATTAATTTTGACCAATAGTAACTTCAGTTAGAACAGGTTCGTCGATTTATTAAAGAAAAACACTCATGTCAATCTTTTTAATACCCTTCTAATTTGAGCAGGCACTTAGCCACCCTACCACAAAATGCAGAATAGATATAAGTTAATTAATAGTTAGGATCTAATCGTTTACTGTATTAATATATACAGTACCAAAAAATAACCCTTCTAAAACATATACATTTGCTTTTCGAACTAATTTATAATTCTATATCCTCCTAAATATTTTTTTATTTTCAAATTTTATAATAAATCGTCAAAAAATGATTATATTTTCCAAAATGGGTGTTTAGGTATATATAAAGATACTATGGAGATACTTTGAGGTAAATAAATTCTAGAGATCATTATAATAATAATAATATATTTCATTTTTATATTTTATTAGGAAAATTATACACTTCAAAACCTTCATTTTCTAGATTAAATACATTTAAAAAAAATTGATTATAAACGTTTGCAATCATCACAACTGAGGAAGTTATTAAATATTCTCCATCGAAAATTAAAATTTAATTTATTAAAATTATATTTATTTCCACAAGATCAATATTATTTTTATAAATATTAAAACTTAGCGCATGATTTTGTGTTAATATATTTTAGTTAAATACGATTGAAACGCTTGCTTTCTTAAAAAATTTGGCTAGACATTTACACTAAATTTTATCAGCTGTTTTTTTTTCGAGTGCATCTCCCGACTTTTCCTGGCGTGATTTGCGAACATATTAATCCGAATGTACAATCTCCTTGCTGCCAAGCATCCCCGCAAGGTTCACCTGAAATCTAATCAATATAAAATATATATAAATAAATCATAGGCATAAACCAGAATTTTCCTAAGTGTAGGGGAGGGGAATAAATTAACAACCACCCAGAAACCTTTTGGCGGTTCGGCACACTTATAATTATTTTTATTAACAAAATTATATTCACAGAACAGTTACAAATTTCTAAAGGAGTGAGGGTGGGGAGAGGGTGGTTATTGCACCCCCCCCCCCTTGGCTTTAGATATATATATAGTATTTTTGTGCATGCGTGATTACTCTACGAGCTGCTAATACGCATCTTCCTTCTGATTGGATAGACTGCTCGAAACTCATGTAACAGATCAAACCATTGGCGCATCGACCCTTCGTAAAAGACGGCCCACCGCACAGTTCACCTTTAACCTACCGCATAAGATCATTTGATGAAAAAAAAATATATTATGTCGTCCCTCTACCGGAATAACGACTTATTCCAAATCTTTAACGTGAATTTGGAAAATCTCTCAATTTAAAATCATCTGGGGAACATTTTTATATTCGAGAAATTTAAGAGTTGTGCTTAGGGTCAACATTTTTTTTTACATTTATGAAGGCATAAAAATATTTATTTGTCCCAAAATGTCCTAATATATATACTTTCTTTTACTTTAGCGCATACAAAACAACAATCGCAGGCATCCTTGACGAGGCCCGCTTTGCAATTAATAGGCGGAGGCTTGCCGCAGTTTACCGGAAGTCGTTGGCAAGAGCAATCCAAAGCCATTATTAATCTAATATTTTTTTTTGATAAAAATAATTAATAAAAAATAAATTTTCCCTCTAAAATATAATCAGGGAGATAAAATTAAAATTGAAGGAATATATTATAATAGCGTATCCATGTTTTTATTTAAAAATATTGGAATCAATCTTCAAGCTGAGACTAAACTTGGAGACTTAATTCAATTTTTTAGGCTAATAGCTTGATTAAGCCACAATAGCCATGGTCAATGATAGGCAATTTAGCAACACTACTCTGGGCTGAAACTAAAATGATAATTATATTCATACCATTGTCACATCCACTGACGATCCTTTTTTTTTTGTATCTATAATACTTCGGGTCTTTAAAAAGTCTTGGCGGTAAAATTAGACAATTTCACCGAGGAAGAGAAAAGTATTTTTATTTAGACACTTAAAACACAATTTTTTAAATTCATAAATAATTAACATATATATTTTTTAAAACTATTGTTTTTAAACGGCTTCTATTTGAAGCCGGTTTTTGAAAGACGGCGACAAACTTAATATTTTAAGTCAGAAAAATATATTGACCTAAACCTCGAAATTTCGCTGATAGTGTCCAAACATTCGTGCAATGTACGATCAGAATATTCCAGGGTAGCGCAATATTTTTCTGGATAATATATTCAGAGATCGGTTCTGATCGAACAGTTTAACACCATTAGATTTTATACGGATAAATAATTTAAATAAGAAAAATATCTTTACATAACTATAATATATAAATTAAAATTAGAATTAGAATCAATTCCACTTGTATCAATACCTTTTTCCTGAATTAATTATAAGCAATAGAATAAAGTAAAAAAAAAATTTGTCAAAATTAAAGTAACACGCGAAATTTTTATCAAAATAATTCTTTATAAAGTATACTTAACCTGGTTGAGAAACCCAACAGAATTCCTGTATACATCAAAGTTCTGGCTTTAAACATGATAATTTCAAATATTTTTTATTTTTTAAAGGAAAATAAGTATGTACCTTCGTATATGTAACTTATATTTAAATATAGTTTAAAAAAAACGTTAACTTGCTAATAAACAATATAAATCTATGTTAATTTTTTATTATAAACACTTTAGGTTATATAAATGATAAATCTTATTTTATTTCACTTATTTTAAAAGTGGTTAGAAATAAAATTAGCAATAGTTTTCTAGATATCGAAATCTATCATCTCAAATGATAATATAAAATTTTGGATTAACAGGATATTTTTAAAGATCTGTTCTCATATTATTATGTACGATACAAATTACTTAAATGCTAATATAGACAAAGATTTTACTTTATATTCCAGAAATATTGTTTTTTTTTCTACAAATCAATGATTTCTTTATAAATGTTATTAAGAATTAAACACTGTTTGCAAACTTTAATAAATTAAAACTAACATTTTTTTGAGTATATATTTTTTTTAAGATAAGGGCATGAGTTTTTAGAAATTCTTATCGTTATAAGAAAACGATTATCGATCGTTATTTCGATATAAAAAAATATTTTGGAATAGATGAATTCTATATGAAAGATTTTGTTTTACAACACCATAAAGCTGGGTTCTAGGTTGAATTCTGTATTCTTAAATTTCGAACATATATCATAGAATCTAAAATATAAGGTGGTGGCGTTTACAATTGCGTCATTAAAATTTAAGTGAAGCTTATTTCATAGGGAAGGGTAGCCACATCCCTTGTCACTGGTTAAATGAGAAGGGCGTTTTAAATATTTAGGCTTCACTCTTGGGGGAAATCACGGTTCGACCCCGGTTGAACAGCTGTTAGAGATTTTTCTATATCACATATGGGGAATAGAAAGAGGTCAAGATATTAATTGTTATAAAATTACTAAATTAGATTCGGTAATTATACTGTACATCAAGTGGGGAAATACTGTGGGAGAGGCATAAGAATACAAGTTTAATATCGTATTATGGTGGTTGAACCTTACCCTAAAATGTCCTCTCTCTCCTAGTTATATCATTTGAGCATAATCTTCCATTATAAAACATACGCCTTTTTTTGCAAATACAATTAATTTTTTATCTTGTAAGACGCAGCTTTTAAGAGAAAATATCGTGTTTTTAGCTAAGGAATTTTTATTTGATACCCAAATCGATATTTCGTGTTGATAAAAATATTTCAAGTAGAAGTTTCTTTTTCTTTGGACTTTAGTTAGGAAAAGTTGAGGGGGAAAAAATCCCTAGAGGAACTAAAATTCATTTAAAAAAAACCAATTTAAAAAAAACGAATATTCTAATTTATTTAAATGGAAGACATTCCTATATAATTAAGTTATTATAGGGTTGCGTCCACTCTCATCTTAGTTTCGGCACTTAAATCTGAATATAACGCAAAGCTTTTCAGGAAAAATAAAAACACTTAGAAAGGCCCTTATTTTATTTTATGTTTTTTAATCCACGTTTTTTATTTGTTTTTTATTTGTTTTTTATTTGTTTTTTATTTGTTTTTTATTTGTTTTTTATTTGTTTTTTATTTGTTTTTTATTTTTTTCTTAAAGAAGGCATTTTAAGCATATAACTCATAATTGATAGAATACCACCCGAGAATGTTAATGTTGATATTTTTTAAAATTGTTTTTTTTAAAGCTTTCAAATATTTAATCTTTTCAAGTTTTCAGATTAGCTAATTTTAATAAACGGTTTTCGCAATATTATTATCTTTCGAATTTTGTAAAAAATATTGTAATTGATATTATCTGTCATTTAGTTCAGTTAATTCAAGTTCCCTGAATTATTTTAAACAATCTTAAAAAACAGTCGGGCTCTTAGTATTGGATACAATTGCTTAGAGTTTTGGATATAATTGCTTTGAGTACTAAAATTACAACTATATATTGTTGGAAATGACGATGATAGTAACTCGTTAGATCATAGAGAAGATTAAAATAATTTTTGAACGCTTTTATTTTACAAAAAAATTTTACTTCTTTCAATTGCCACTTTAAACCTGGTAACCATTATTTTTTTAAAATCTCATTAACATTTGCCAAATATTTTATGGTAAAAAGTTTTTTTTTAGAGAAATAATTCTGACAAATTCAAATAATGACTTTATTAATCAAGTAAATAAAATTTCCATTTGTATTTTATATAAAAAAATTTTACGCTATAAAAAGTTCGAAAGACGATCTTAACCACCCCCCCCCCCCACCCACCCTTCCCTACCTTTCAAACTACAGCTGGCTTAGACCAATTAAAACGATGTAAAAAAAGCCTGACCCTCCTAGCGTCATAGACCCGCCCTCAATTAGATTTCTAAACCGGATACGTGAAACGGAGTTCTGGGCATGTTCTTGGAATAAAATTTTGAAAAAATTATAGAACCCTGAAGAAACGGGGGAACGTGACAGTAGTGCCGGGAACGCCACAACTGTTACGAAACCTTTAACTTAAATAAAACAGTTATTTCTGAAATGTGTCTGTCATAGCTGATGAGAGAAAAAATAATTTCCCTACATCCTCCAAGAAAAGAAGAAAAAAATTAATAAAGAAGGAATGATTTTTAAAAAATATGACTATTATAATTTCAAATTTTTTTAGGTGTCCAACAGCCTACAATAAGTGTATCTAAAGACATCCAATAAAATTTATGGAGAGTAAAGTAGAGCCTAATCTCGGCAAAATCTTTGGTACCCAGCTGATTATACCTATGATTTTTTATTAAATGGCTTATTCATAAATATGTATTCTTTCTGTATTAAATTCCAGTTTGCTTTCACTTAGAAATATTATAGACTCCGTTATTTACTTTTATTTATTTTATCACGTGATTTTTAAGGTTATCAAACATTTTTTTTCTTCTTCTTAGAAAATAAAATTTTAAAATTTAAACAATTTTGACCCCCCAAATTTATATTAACACACAAATCGAAGAATATATTCTCAATCAACATAACCTTTCGAAACTTAATTAATAATATATAAATAATGACGATGATAATTTCGTCGAGTCGTTTTCCAACATCATGAACTTTCAATAAAATATATTCCTTCTACTTCATCATCAAATTTGTTAAATGAAAATAGTTTCAATCAAAATGTTTTAAAATGACTTATCTTATACAATTATACATTTTGAAATATAATCTTTAAATACTAGAAACAAATGATTATAAATTGATATATTGTGAATATTTCTTTGAACGCTTCTTTTCATACTTATCTTCATGTAACTTTCACACATTTTTCAATGGCTGATGACGCTGGGTTGCTGATAAGTTCAAACCTTTATCTCAAATACCTTGTCCGTAAGTAGTTTCTCCCAATGATAAATTTTTTTCAATAATAATTTTATTAATTTTTTTTAAGTATAAATGTTATAGCGGCAGTGCGTCTTTTTTTAAATTTAAAAAATATTATTTTAAGTGGAAATTTTTTTCTAAAACTTGTTTATGAATACCTTATCCTATTAATTGTAGACATCCATATACTGTAATTGGCGGCCCATATTGCCAATCGCGCTATATCCTTATCCAGAGAACTTGATTCTCATACTGGTAATTATGTACGAATCTTGTTGAGGCTTTTTCTTGAAACAATGACTCGCCATAGCTATTCACTAGGCTAATTACAATAGCTTTATGGGATAGCAATCATCTCACAAGATGATTATTTTTAAAACATTCAATATATGTTTGTTAAAATATATAATAGAAAAACTTTTCCTTCCCTCACGTCAAATTGCTTATTTAAATTTTTATTCAAATTGAGCGGCCATTATTTTTATTTCTCGATATACTATAACTGGAAGTAGTTTGTATGGAGCGTCAAATTGGTTTAAAAGGAAATTTACTTTTATCTTCGCTCAATATAAATGGCTTAAAAAGCAAACTAACGAATCCTCTTAGACTGATGGTGGAAGAGAAAATGGATATAATTGCGATACAAAAAACCCACTCTCCAATTTTAGTAATTTCATATTATACAGTTCGGGCACTACTTTAAATAGCTGGTCAGGGATC